GCTGTAGTTCATACATTTAAAAACAGAAGAGACAGCTGTTCCCAGGACACTGAAATTAATTCAAGGAAGGGGATTTGCAGTACATTAACTTTTTAAAAAGTCTTTTGTGCCAGACTAACAAAAAAAAAAGACTATCTAATCAAACATCTGCTCTCAAAATTAATCTTAATAGACCTTAAAAGCAGCAGCTCTCATTTTTTTGTGCTGTGTTCTTACAGCATAAGCGAACTTTTGCACCAAGGTGAATGCAGCCATTTAAAATCATAAATATGCTGCTTTTTTTAAAAGGTTGTATGTCATTGTTATATGATTTTAATAGAATGTCTTTTTCAATTGTGCCTGATCTGAGACTCTAAGATACTTGAGATTCATTTTATCAACATCACAAAGAAGTGGGGGTTTTGTTGTTGTTGTTCCAAAAGCATTTATGCAGGGGTCATTGTGCTTTGCTCTGGTTAAATCCTTCTCCCAGTTCTGCTGCAGGATTTCTACCTTCAGTGGCCAGCATCACTTTCCAATCTGTTTCCATCAGACCTTACACAGGTCACGTGACATCACCATCCTAGGTAGGCCCTGAGCACGCAAAAATAAGATTCTACACTGTGACAATGAAATGGAAGTCATTGTTCTGCTAAAGCGTATGATGAAAGAATTTATGATGAAAAGTGTCCTTTGAAAAAGGCTAAAACTATTTAGATCATTGCACGTCAACAATGTCACTTCTTAAAGGTCCTTGCCTAGGGCTGGGAAGTTGGCTCAGTGGTAGAGCGCTTGCCTTGCATGCCTGAGGCCCTGGGTTCGATTCCTCGCACCACATAAGAAAAAAGCTGGAAGTGGCGCTGTGGCTCAAGTGGTAGAGTGCTAGCCTTGATCTGAAGAGCTGAGGGACAGCGCTCAGGCCCAGAGTTCAGGCCCCACGACCGGACCGAAAATAAAAATAAATTTAAAAAAAAAAAAAAAGGTCCTTGCCTATTCTGCACATGCAGCTCTGACCATGTAGCGTCTGTTCAGAGACACAAGTGCAGTCTGCAGGCTAACGTTGCACTTTCTCATTACTTAAATGGTATACTACAGGAAAGTGAACCCTGTCAAGTGTCATCCCCTCAGTGTTCCAGGGCTGGAACTGTGGGCTCAGAGAACTCCACACAGCTCTACCCACTCAAGGTTCTCCTTCTGTATCTCTAAAGGACCCTAACTCAAATTGAGAAGAATGAAAAATCTACCCTCTTACAGCACCCTCTCTCCTTGAGATCCTCCGTTGCCTCTTTCAAACTAGAAGTAATGAGCCACTCACTGGGCACCTGAGGTATGAGATGCCAAGTCTGGTTCCCTTCCAGTCTAACCTGGTGCTTTACCTCCACCATGACACCTGGCCTTTAAAAGGAAATGCACTGAGGACCAGTATTCTTCCATCCCAGGAGAGTCAAGACCTCATTCCAGAACAACTTAAGCATTCAAAGGAGAGCCAAGACTTCCTTACAAGAATCCCCATTATTGCACCCCACCCTGCTTTCCTTCTCCCTCCCTTCCTCCCCTTCCAGATGTTCCTTCCACAAAGCCTGAGCTTGAGAATTTGTTTAAAAAGATTTCTACCTGCTTCTAATGTTCAGATAAGTTTGGGAACCTCTGGCACTGAGCCCATCATGACTGAGCTTTAAATATCTACTGCACAAGAGAAAGCAATCAGTACCTGGCACACACTAGATGCTTCTGAATTCTCAGCTCCTTCCCCTTGCCAGATTATCTCTCCTGGTTTTTTCCCTGGGTTGCCTGAAGACTTGGTGTCAGGCTGGGACTCTAGTCTAGTTGGCTGCCCCTTGTGGCCAGGCTCTTGTTAGAAGGAAGAAAGCTTGGGTGAAGTGTGTACTGTAATACCCTACAGAAAGAGGAGAGGAGGAAGACAAAGATAAATTCCCCTGCAGCGGGGAGCCACCGAGAGCCAGTTAAGAGGAGGTCTAATCAGTTTGATTTCCAGTCCACTGTTCAGTAAAGCCCCTGAATGCTAATTGAAAAGTAACCTTGGAAACCAGAGCCTGGTATTGTACCAAACAAGAACGAGCCAGAACGTACAAAAGGCAAGTCCAAGGCAGAGTTTCAGTGGGTCCTGAGGGCCCTTATTTTGGGGGACTTTTATTTCCAACATTTGTTGCAGTAAATCCTTTGTCTGCTATCCAAGGTCAGCCATCTGAACGGATCAAAGTTCTCAAAAGTTGAATATGCGGTTTTAGTTTCCATGTCTTTTAGTGGCTTTGAGGGGAGAGGCTCCAAATTCTGACAGCAAAGGAAACATCTAAATCATTTTAAGATTTAGAAGCTGTATCATCTCTCCTTTCCATAAAATAGGAAGGAGAATGTTAAAGAATTTTCTGAAATGTTGGTGGAAGGACCTGTCTCTTCACCAATGACATGAATTATTACAAACTTAGGAGCAAAAAGAATAGTCTCGGGGTCTTAGTAGTTAGCAAGATTGGAATATCAGTTGATGTACTAAGCTTGTACTATAAGCTTTTTATGATTCAAGCAAATTCTTAAATTGCATCCTGGTAACATGATAGAAAACATTTAAGAACTGGAGGGAAAACTGGTTGGTCTGTGAAATCATTTTCTACTTGACCCCAGAATCCTGAAAGAGCCAGGAGGGGTTTCCTGGCCAAAAAATAAAAACCACTGCCAATAACTTTAGAGAAGACTTCCAGCCTACTAAGTTTTGAAGACATACATTCTGAATAAGAGAAGATAATTCCGGATAATTCTACACTGAATAGGCATTACATAAGTACTTTGAAAATCACTTGTTTTTAAAAATTACTGTAGATGAAAACTTCCTGATTTTGACACCTTGTGAAAATTGAGTTGTTTTTAAAAAATGAAAATATGCTGCACTCCTTAGTATTTAGCACTTGTGTAATGTTTAACTTTTATATCTGGTACTAAAAATATGTAGAGCTGTTCTACATATCCACCACTCCCAATTTTGAGGATTTTTTTTAATAGAGTCTCACTTTGTAGCCCAGGCTGGCATGAAGCTCAAAATCTTCCTGCCTCAGCCTCCTGAGTGCTGAAGTTACAGGTATATGCCACCATGTCTGGTTCTGGCTTTTAAAAGCTGTGTTGAGGAAGTAGAAAGGTGGCTCAAGTGGTAGAGGACTAGCCTTGAACAAAGGCTAGCAAGAGCATGAGGTGCTAAGTTCAAGCCCCAGTACTGACATGAAAGGAAAAAAAAAGCTGAGTTGGTATATAGTTCACCAGGTGTTAAAAATATATTGGTAGAGCCAGGTGCTAGTGGCTGACTGACTGTAATCCTAGTTACTCAAGAGGCAGTCTGAGGGGCTGGGAAGATGGTTCAGTGGTAGACTGCTTGCATCACATACATGAGGCCCGGGGTTTGATTCCTCAGTACCACATAAACAGAAAAAGCCAGAAGTGGCATTGTAGCTCAAGAGGTAGGAAAGCACCCAGGCCCAGAGTTCAAGCCCTACAACTAACAGAAAAAAAAAGAGGTAGCCCGATTATGGTTCAAAACCAACCCAAGCAGAAAAGTCCATGAGTTATATACATGAATACATATATTGTATATAGTATATGCTATATTATATAATCTATAGCATATATTAATATATAATGTTGTATATGTTACTATTTTATTCTTTTTTTTTTTTTTTGTCGGTCATGGGCCTTGAACTCTGGGCCTGGGCGCTGTCCCTCAGCTCTTCAGCTCAAGGCGAGCACTCTACCACTTGAGCTACAGCGCCACTTCCGGTTTTCTAGTGGTTTATTGGAGATAGGAGTCTCACGGTCTTTCCTGCCCGGGCTGGCTTTGAACCGCGATCCTCAGATCTCAGCCTCCTGAGTAGCTAGGATTACAGGCGTGAGCCACCGGTGCCCGGCTTACTATTTTATTCTTATATATTATTATATGCTATATTATACAATATAATATATAATACATAGTATATACAAATACATATATAAATATATGTAAAGATATATTTATAAATTTTAATATGTAATATAATAGTGTATAGTATGTAATATTTTACTATATAATATATATATTATTAAATATATCTCCACCTATATACTATTATATTGACCAAAATATATATTATTATGTCCATATACATGTGGATATAACTCCAAGTTTGTTACATATGTTTCTGTCTTACTAGTTTTAAGCTCTTTCCAGGGCAATTTCTTTGAGAACCCTTCTCATTCTAAAATGGATCCTCCCTCTTGTGATCCGCCCTCTATTGCCATTTGAGTTTGTTAGACCTTCATGTTGAAAACAAAGGTTGCACTTCACACAGCAGAGAAAGTTAGAATGAGCACAGATGTTGCTCAGGAAATACCTGATATTCTGTTGGTCTACTTGCAGTTCACAAGTATGGCTCCCCGATCTTCTCTACCTTCAGTGTTCACAATCACCCAGGCCATGCGTGTGCTTTGTTTGGGGGCTAGCTTGAGGCTTGCATGCTTTGAAAATGAATTCCAGACATTTTCAGCATTGTTCCCTTTAGCTGCTCAGGAACATCTTGCAACCATTGAATATTTTTTTCATCTCTTTCTCTACTTCTCATCAGTAGTTATAATACCTACTATCCATATAAAAGCTAATCTTCTTATCTGTTGGACCACTATTTTATGATTCTAAGTTGGCTAAGGCCTACTTTCATTCCTATTCTAGCCTTAGACATGACATGAACTTGTGGATATAGCTTGGTGTGTGTGTGTGTGTGTGTGTGTGTGTGTGTGTGTGTGTTGGCATTGGGGCTTCTAGATACTTAAAATCAACTGATAGTCAGGCTTTTTATTCCCAAGGCAGATCTTGCTTTCATCCAAGGGCTCCCGGGCAGCCCCATGAGGCACAGGTGTGCCCTCTGGCATCCCCTGGGGAATCTTGAGCCCTAGTCCCTAACTGGCAACAGATCCTCAGGTACTCTGGCAAAACCTCAGCTGGGGCTTCAGTGTCAATGTGGTTTCCCATCTTCTGCCTACCACAGGGTCCTGTAGCATCTACCACATCAGCATTTTCTGTCCTGTCATCTGGGCCTGGCCTTCCACCACCTCCCCCTCCACCGCCTCCTCCAGGACCACCTCCACTTTTTGAGAATGAAGGCAGGAAAGAGGAGTCCTCTCCTTCACGATCAGCTTTATTTGCCCAGCTCAACCAGGGAGAAGCCATCACAAAAGGTGAAAAAACAATTACTTGAAGCTTCTTTTCCTTGTAGCTCCAACACACAGATTCCCCCAGAGCCCCAGAGACAGCACCATTTCCATCTCCAGCACCTGGAAGGAGAGAAGCTGAGGCTGGGGAGCGGGGGGAGGGGAGTCTACAGCGTTCAGGTCTGGGTAGTCAGTCTCAGTGGGCTGCCACATGGACAAACTCAGAGACAATGGTTCCTATTCAGTACTGTTAACACCACTCACTTACCCCTCCTGCCCAGTGCTTCAGCATTAGCCTCTAGAACCAAGGCATCTAGAATATTCTATGTGTGCACAAAAATACCACAAAGTAACTCCTTCATACAGTTAATCTATGCTAATAAAAAGTGTATTTGAACCAGATTGCTGGTAGTTTATGCTTATAATCCTAGCTATTCAGGAGGTTGAGTTCTGAGGATTGTGGTTCAAAGCCAACCTAAGCAGGTAGACTTTTATTTCCAATTAACCAACAAAACGTCAGAAGTAGAAATAGGATTCAAGTAGAACAATGCCAGCCTTGAACAAAAAAGTGAGAAGCTGAGGCTTAGAATTCAAGCTTCATTAACTGGTACCAAAAGAAAAAAAAAAAAGATAGGCAATAGCACCTCTGTCCTGAAGTAGTGTACTTATTGGCTGGTTGAAGAATTTCATCATTCGCTGGCACTGGTGGCTCACACTTGTAATTCTAGGAACTCAGGAAGCTGAGATCTGAGAATTGTGGTTCAAAGCCAGCCCAGGCACACTGTTATCTCCAATATAATACTCAAAAAAGCCAAAAGTGGCACTGTGGCTCAAGTGGTACAGCACTAGCCTTGAGCACAAAGAGGCTCAGAGACAGAGTCCAGACCCTGAGTTCAAGCCCTATGACTGGTAAAAAAAAAAAAAAAAAAGAATTTCATCACCAAACTTCCTTTCTCATGGTGGATGGTTAATTTTATTGTGTGTGGGTGCTGGTCCTGGAGCTAAGGGCATAGGTTTTACCTTTATCACTAGCTCCCACTGGCTCTACTATCTCCTAGACATTCACCTGCAGCATTAAAGAATGGGCTTAGAACCATAAAGTCAATTCCATGTTCTGACACAAACTCATTAGGATGTTCTAACATTTTAGGCTATATTGGGCAAATGATTTAGCCATGAAAGAAGTAAAACCACGAAATCCTCTTTAATGAGGTGGCTTCTGGATATGGAGGGAGTGGGGGTTGCTTTTTTGTTTGCTGCAAAATTTTTATCATCCCATATCTTTAAAGAGAATTCCTCAGGCTAAACATACACACACACACACACACACACACACACACACACACACACACACACACACACATTACTTTTCATCATCAGGATTCAAACTCAGCATCTTGACCTAGAACACTGGACTGTTAGGAAAATTATCATTGCCAAGTGTTGTTGTAGACACCTCCCTTTGCATAAAATACAAAGAAATGTGTCCATCCGTGTCACCCTCATAGGGCTTCGGCATGTCACGGATGACCAAAAGATTTACAAGAACCCCAACCTGCGTGCTCAAGGACAGATTCCATCTCCCACCAAAACCCATTCCCCAGGCCCCACGTCTCCCAAATCTCACGCTCCTCAGAAACATGCTCCCGTGTTTGAATTGGAAGGAAAAAAGTGGAGAGTGGTAAGTAAAGTCCTTTAAACTGTATTCTTGACACACTCATGGTGTGTCAATGTACCGAGGTCTTAAGGATTCCTAAAAACCATTGGCTGGAATAGGAACCGAGAGATTTCTGAAGGCTTCCGTTGTTGTTTTTTTCACTAGTTCTTATGCATTCTCTCCTTCAGTTTTGTTTTTTTTTTTTGTCAATCATGGTAAAATACATACAACATAAAATTTACCATTAACCATTTTAACTACATTTCAGCGGCATTAAGTACACCCATACTGCGTGCAACCATCACCACTATTCATACACGGGGCACTTGTCATTTTGGTGAACTAAGGCACGGGGCCCACAAACCAGGACTCCCTATCCTCCTTCCCTGCAGCCCCTATCAACCACCATTCTGCTGCATGTTTGTGAATTTCACTGTGAATTCCCATAAATCTTTAACCAAACAGTGAGTGAAACCACTAACCCAAGGAGATGGAATCTGTGCCCAACTCTGATGTGCTATAGATTGTTTTGTTCCATCCCATGGATTGAGGCCCTGGTAGAACAATGTGCTACCACTACCATCTACCACTTTCAGGGCTAATTATGTGAGCTGAGCAGAGACACCGAGAATATGAATGAAAGCTGGGTATCCTCTACCAATCCAGACAGTTGCCCTACAGACTAAGAACCAAAGTTCCTGGAAAGGTTGTTATGACCTGAAAGGACGTGGAGCTTGGACCCTGCTGTGACCCTTCCCCTACTCCTCTCCTATTTGGCCCAGCAGATTTTGCTTTAGCATGAAGTATAGACTGAGTTAGCATCAGTGTCTCAACAACTCTCATACCCCTGCCCCAGACACCCCCTCCCCCACTAGCTCGGATGCCAACACCTATCCCTCCCAAACAGCATTCCATCCATCCATTCCCATCAATTTCTACTACAAGAGTTTATCCATAATGAGATGGTCCATAAAGAAAGAGCATATGGAAAAGGCTATAATCCTGATGAGCCCATAGTCACTTCAGTAGGCATTGGATTCATTTTTAACAGGTTTTATTGTCCTTACTTTCAATATCTGTATCTGTTTTAATTTTAGGAGTACCAAGAGGACAGGAATGACCTTGTCATTTCAGAGTCTGAACTGAAACAAGTGGCTTACATTTTCAAATGTGACAAATCTACTCTCCAAATAAAAGGGAAAATAAATTCCATTACAATCGGTAGGGCAAAACTATGGCTCTCTAGTTCCCATGAGTTGCTTGCAAGGAAGATGCTGTATGTATGTAAGTGAGCTTTTGGATCTTTCCCCCTTAGATAATTGTAAGAAGTTTGGCCTCGTGTTCGACAATGTGGTGGGAATTGTGGAAGTGATTAACTCCAAGGACATCCAAATTCAGGTGAGTAGCCTTTCTAATGATGCTTTGCCCTGGCCATGGCTTTGCATAGACCAGTATGCCTGCTCCTGCACCCAGAAAACTCCTGCTCCCTTTCTTTCCACATATGGCTTCCTCCTCACCTCATCTGTGAAGAGCACCAGCAGTGGCCAGGAGGGAGAATGGAACAAAGGGAAAGCCACAGCCTTTAGGAGGATTCCATTGGAAAGATGACAGGTTAGGGTAAAGAATTCAGGATGAGCTGGTCTGAATAATCCCATGTTTTAGAGGATACTATTACCTGGTGCTTGGTCCTGGGATTGTGTGTGACAGGGAGATAATGGTTTAGATGGTCAGAGTTAGAGCTGGTTGAACCTGTGAAATCAACATTGGTTCTTTTCTATGTAAGAGATGTGCTTCTGATCAAGCCTTTTCAGAAAGGACTAGTCCTGGGAGAGGCAGTATTTTTTTAATTAGCCTAGCTATACAAGGGAGAAATTCATTGTGACATTTCCATGCATGTTTACAATGTATTCCAATCACTCTCCCCTGACTCAATCACTCTTTCTTACCCCATCCCCCTTTCCTGAAACAGTTTTAACAGGTTTTATTGTGATTATACTCATAGTTTTACACTCAGATTGGCTGGGTGCAAGGTGTCATGTTAACCGAATGTCATGCATACAGGAAATGCAAGCTTACAAGCCTCTGTCTTAAAAAGTCTGAAGGTCCAGGGTTGTTACGCCCCAGTATATATTAATATTCAGAGAGTGAACCTTTTACACTCATTACAGAGCAAATTAGCACCAAATAATAAAGCCACACTTAAAACCTTTGGCTGAGTAATTCTGCTTTGGGGAATTTACACTGAAGGAGTTCTATTACCTTTGTCAAGGAGACATGCAATAAATTCATTGTACCATCATTTATACTGGTAATAAAAATTAAAAACAATTTAAATGTGCACTAACTAGTGACTAAATAAATGAATCTTACCAATAGAATACTAGCTAGTAGTTAAAATGAATAAACTACAACAGTCAAATGTATCAAAACAGGTAACTATCAAAATAACATTGAGCCATAGAGGCCAATTACAGAATGGCAAGCATTGTATCACGTGTTCATTTATTTTTAAAAAATCAAGAACATGCAAAACAACATATGCACATATTAAATACATTTATGAGAACTCAAGAGCCATCCTAATCCCCTTAATCCAGTGGGGAGACCTGATGGATTATAAACATGATAATCCAAGGGGGAAGAGAGAAAGGAGGTGAGGGAGATGGTTCGTGGCATATAGGATATACCATACTACAGAATTATAGTCTAAATCAAACAAAAAATAATAGGATCCAGGTGTAGTGACTCAGTTCTGTAACCCTAGCTACTTAGAAGGCAGAGACTGGGGGTGTTTAGCTCAAGGCCAATACAAGCACAAAGAAGTCCAGGAGACTCCATCCCAAACAATGTTGGGTGCAGTGGCACAAACTTGTCATCCGCCAGTGACACAGTGAAGTACAAGAGGAAAGACCATAGACACATCCAGACCAGTCACAAAGTAAGAGCCTGCCTTGGAAATAAAGCAGAAAGGGGCCAAAGAGTGGCTGAAGTGGTAGAGCACCTGCCCAGCCAGTGCAAGGCCCTGAGTTCCTGAGTTCAAACCTTACTAACCCCCCCCCCCACACACACACACATCAATAACTAGTAGAAACAAAATGTCACACTCTGACAAAGCTGTTTATCGGCCTCCATGTATTTATATGGTGGGCATATATGCATTTATATTATTCCTTATATGTTTTTATGTTTGAAATGTACTAATATTTTAAGGATATAAATGTGCATACACACACATACTATATCTCTGAACAGATCAACTAGGGTTCCCTGAACACTACAGATAGAAAGAACTCAATGGTACAGTTCAGAAACCAGAAAAGACATTTGACAGAATTCTTTCTGAACTTTCACATGTTCAAACCATGCAAATGTCATGACCTATTTCAAGAACTTCATAGTTTTAAAAGAGTCTGGACATGTTGAAAACAGAAAGCAGATTAGCAGTTGCCTGGTCGTAGCATGGAGGCCATTAGAGATATTTTAGGGACGATGGAAATGTTCTAAAACTGTACTGTAGTGATGACTGTACAGCTCTTTAAACGTATCAAGTATCATTGAACTGTACATTTAAAACGGTTGAATTTCAAACAGGCATGTTGAATTGAAGCCCCTTTGTACAACTACTTGAGGAGAATTTTTAAATAACCAAAATAAATTTCAAAAAGATAAATAAATAAATAAAATGGGTGAGTTTTATGTTTGCACACTTTTACCTCCATCATGCTATTAAAACTGAAAAGAGGGGGTGAGGAGAAGGCATGGATTTGACTCCGTTTCTTTGGCAAACTGTCCTAGGAAAATATTCAAATTATGGCACAGAGCAGGGACTATAGAAGTTAATGGAACTTTTAAAACATGATTGTGAAGTAATCATTTTGTGATACACAGTAGTAAGAGGCTAGCTCAGTAAGACTATGTGCCTAACAGGTAGGGGGACCTAGACCCAATCCCCATCACCCAAAATTCAAAAGCCTCACTACATCAATACACAAACATGTATGAAATGTAAGAGCGTTGGCCTGGGTAGGCTCACCTGCCGCCTGTCACTCAGCGAAGGAGCTCTTTGGCTCAGCTCTCCTGATAAGAAACAACCCCTGTTCTCAAAGTATTCACAGACTACCTGGGAAGAAAGACATGGGTGTAATATGCTCGAACTCAGTTTTCACCAGACCACTGGTTTTAACATACCAGGGCTATTTTCATATGATTGCTGTTGCCTTTTCAAAGAACGTAGGGTGTTTGTGCATTTTAAACATCGTCTCGCAAGCTATAAAAGATAAAACAAAATGTATCAACACTAGGCACTTGCCTCGCAAGTCTCTGCTCATAAACAAAGCATGGAAGGCCTTTAAACACCACCGACAATTCATTCCTTTCCCTTCCTTGCCCGACACTCATGCAGTTCTCCTTGGCATATGAATGAATATCCTCCGTCATTACAAAATAAGCAGATCTAGAAATCATCAAGACATGGCACATTTTTGAAATGCACATGAATACATTATTCTTCCATCTGTGGCCGAGCCCTTTGCTTAGCTGACCTTGAACTACCTCTGCCTTTTTCTTGCATTGGATTCAGTTCCAACTCAGCACCATTTCTGTAGTCATAGAAGAAGAGGAAAGAGAGAAGTGTGGTGACCTGGCTAGGCGCTCCCCCAAGGAATTCTTTACATCACCTGCACCAGCACAGGACTTGCTCCTTGGGTTTGCAACGCAGCCTTTTCTTCAGGGTGAAAGAAGAGATTTCTTTATCACTTTAATTACCATTACAAGGAGGAAAATTATAGAGCTGTAATATGGTCTTTGAGAGAACAGTGTCCCCTATGGAGATTTGGAGGGGATTGTCTACAAACTGATTGCTGGCAGAGAAACATATCTGAATTTTACAGCATTGAGATATTGGTGAACAATATAAAAGAGTTGCCTCCTTTTCTCTGTGATCCTGTTTATCTATATAATGAGTGTCCTGAACTAAGCCCCTAGTTTGGGCTCCTGAAATGAATACCTTGAAAATAACTAGACATTTATCTCAGTTGAACTTCACATTCAGCCTTGAGACTTTTTTTTTTTAATCCAGAAAAGGATTTTTTTTTATTGTATTTTCTTACCTATTCTGAAGTTCAGGAACAAGCTCCTCAGTTTCTACTCAAGAATAATCTTATTATTAAATGTCAGTATTGATTCTTGTAGTCCCAGTTTCAGAGATATTTGTTAAAACTAAAAAAAAAATTTAGCACATAAAAGCCAACGTGTCTTGTTTTGTTTATCAGGAAATCAAATACATGTTTCAAATCCACTATCAGGATTGTAAGGCTTTTCTGAACGTCGTGCTGCTATTTCCAAATGAATCCCTTAAATTTCACCTCAAGAAAGAGCCCCTGAGACTTAAATAAGAGTCCCCTTGTGTGGTCCTTTCAAATCTGTCCCCAAATGACATGTACTGTATTCAGTCAGGAGACATAACCATTAGCCAGTCTCTCCAGTTCTGACCCAGCGATTCCTAAGGCTTGCTTAAAGTTCAAACACACAGTGGAATCGAGATTGTAATTGTTTGAGAACATTGTCATTTTTGTATCTTTGCCTTGGTCCCAGAAGGTGTTGTTTGTTTGTTTGTTAATTCAGGTACTAGGGAGAGTGCCAACGATTTCCATTAATAAGACAGAAGGCTGCCACATATACCTCAGTGAAGATGCATTAGATTGCGAGATTGTGAGTGCCAAATCATCTGAAATGAATATACTTATCCCTCAGGATGGAGATTATGTAAGTACCTTTCAAGAGGCTGTCAAGAATTTCTTTCTGAGCCTTCATTATTAACATTCTAAGAGACTGATTAATCAACTACCGACCGATGAAGTTCACTTGTGGAATAACTCACAGGCAGAAGAGGGATGCAGGGAGCTGCTGTCCACATCTCCTTTCTTCTATTAGCTTCTTGACTAGGTTCACTCCTTGATTTGTGACTCTCAAGGCAATTTACTAGTAATTACTAGTAATTGGTTAGCTTTTATCAACTAGCACAGTATGCATCTGAGTTCGTATGATGTGACTAAATATTTTCCTTTGCTCTGATGGAAATAGGCAAGAAGGGAAAATGCATTGTGGTGAAACTAAGAGGAAAGAAAGGGAATGATAAGGAGGTAGACCTATTTGCCTGGGGTACTCAGGCAAAGACTCTCCTTTTAACATAGGAATTAGCTGAGCCTAGCACTGGTGGCTCTTGTCTGAAATTGTAGCTACTCAGGCAACTGAGATCCAGAGGATCAAAGTTGGAAGCCAGTCCAAGCAGAAAAGTCTAAGATACTCGGGCTGGGATGTAGCTCAGTGGCAAAGCGCTTGTCTAGCAAGTGCAACGTCCTGGGTTCGATCCCCAGTACCAAAAAAGAAAAAAGACAAAAAAAAGTCTAAGATACTCTAACTCCAAAATTACCAGCAAAAAACAGGCTGGAAGAATGGCTCAAGTAGTAGAGCACCACTGGGCGCTGGTGGCTCACGCCTGTAATCCTAGCTACTCAGGAGGCTGAGATCTGAGGATCACGGTTCAAAGCCAGCCCGGGCAGGAAAGACCGTGAGACTCCTATCTCCAATAAACCACCAGAAAACCAGAAGTGGTGCTGTAGCTCAAATGGTAGAGTGCTCGCCTTGAGCTGAAGAGCTGAGGGACAGCGCCCAGGCCCGGAGTTCAAGCCCCATGACCGACAAAAAAAAAAAAGTAGTAGAGCACCAAGAAAGAAAGGAAAGAGAGAAAGAATTCACTGGGAAATCTTGATGGACAAGCCAGCTCCACATCCTGAACCTAGAAATTCAATTTTGGAAGCTTGCAGTGGGGTCCAGGAATCTAGGTTCAAACAGAGCTCCCAGGTGATTTGAATGCCATCCATCTATCCAGTGGACCCTCTAAAAAACACTAACCCAAGATTCTACCAGCATTTCTTGTCTCTGCCTCTTCTCACCAATAAGGCAGCTTCTAAAGGATTTGTGCTGATCTTCTCAAACACTTAAAGAAGCAAATATAACTAAATAAATCACACTTCCTGAGGTCATGACATATTGTAGATTCACTCAATTGTTACTTGGAAGTTGAGAACTAAGTACAGATCATTCTCTGTGAATCTGACTCTAGAGGGAACCAATAAATTAAGAAAGGACAGAAGGAAATGTACCTCAGTAGGTACATCTTTGAAAGAGAGGGCATGTCAGCCTGAAGGGATCAGTCATCAAATGTCAACACAGCCATCAGCAGGCAGGTTGAGCTGTTTCCTCGGACAACAGGACTGCTCCCAGGAGCTCCTTCTCCACGTATCAGAAAGTTCTGCAGGGGCTGGGAAGGTGGCTCAGTGGTAGAGCGCTTGCCTTGCATGCCTGAGGCCCTGGGTTCGATTCCCCAGCACCACATAAGCAGGAAAAAAAAAGCCAGAAGTGGCCCTGTGGCTCAAGTGGTAGAGCGCTAGCCTTGAGCGGAAGAGCTGAGGGACAGCGCCCAGGCCCAGAGTACAGGCCCCACAACCGGACCCCAAAAAATAAATAAAAATAAATAAAAAAGAAAGTTCTGCAGAATTCATTATTTCAGTCTAAACACACAAAATCTGTAAGCACTGGGCCATACTGCACCACTTGGTGAATGGATAGCCTAATCTTGAACTATAGAAGACTCCTGTTAAACTCACGAGTAATACAGAAGATCTTCAGAGGAAGACAGCATAAATTAATTAGGTAATTCCTGGCCTATGTAGCTGTGTAGGGAGAAGGAAGGCTCAGCTGTATGGAAACTAGACCTCCTAGGAAAAGCAATTGTGTTTGGATGAACACTCTAGACTAATTTAGCTAGACTCTGGGCATGACCCAAGTATCTGTAACTTTTTAAAGTTTTCCAGGTCACTCCAATGTAGACCTAAGACTGAGTCCAAAGAATAATCAAATCGCCATTCTAAAGGATAATCAAGGCCTGAGCTTTTGTGCTGAAAAGTAGTTTTGCCTATGTGGCAAGACTCTTATCACCTTGTACCATCAGCCCTGGGCTCTCTTCATGCCCTTTCTAGCTGAAGGTGGTAGAAACAGAAAATCTTCCGTGGGCATTATGATGTGGGAATGGATGGAGGATGTGATTCACCGGTCTCCATCATCCTCTGGCTTTCTCCTAACTGCCAAACCAACCTTAGAACAGTTGCATAGCATTATGATCCCACACGTGCTTTCTCCCTGAGAATTCTCTACTTTATGGTTTACTTGAGAACCAACACCATGCTTGGTTTATGCATCAAGAATCACTCCAGGAGTGATATTGGGTACACACACACACACACACACACACACACACACACACACACACACACACACACACACACACACACACACACACACACACACACGGTCAGGTTCTTTCTTTGTGTTTAAGAATTTTCATTGCAGACTTCATTCAAAGAAAATTTGTGACTCATTTTGGCTAAAGAAACTGCTTCTTCTAAGCATGCACAAAAAGTCTAATGAGGCTGCTGAAGTTTGGGCAGCAGGGCCATTTCTCAGCCTCTGTGGATCCTCTTTATGAAAAATCTGGAGAAGTTCAGACTACCTGTACTTTGGCTTTTCTATGTTTCCTTGCATGTAAAGAGATAAGGAAGTGTGTATCGGAGAGTGTAAATGCATTTTGCAATGATTAGTGGAAGGGTGGCAAGATGGAGGCATAACAAATTCGTTTACAACCCTGAGCATAATTTTGCCATTTCTCAAAGAGTAGACAGATAAATCTGACATAAAGTCTATCAACTCTGGTGACCAGGAGCCTTGATGTCTCCTGAGAGCTTGCTTGCAATGCAGATTCTCTTTCTCTTCCCCACACCTACAGAATCAGAACCTGTAAGTTAAGGTACCTGGTTGACTGGAATGCATGTACAAGGCTGGTAGAAAGCAGTGGATGAGAGAAGACTACAGAGAGACTACCTTCGTTTAGACTCTGGATGCTCTGCTTACCAGTGATGTCATGTTGGGCCAATTGCTTGAGCTCTCTGGCCTCTGCTTCCTGTAGCTGGCATCTTGGAAATGACTGGCTCATGGAGTTGCTATGGATCAACTGAGTTTGCATGTGTCTAGTGCTTAGATTGATGCCTGGGTCTTCCTAGTGACAGAATGCAGTCACTAAGTGGACAAATAGTATATGCAAGTCTCCATGTCTCAGATTCCTCACCATGCCTGGTTTGGGGGATAGATCACATTTCTAATCAGCCTTCTCCTTATTTACAAAGAGAAGCCATCATGTAATTAATTTTGTCCTTTGTGCCTTTTTCCAGAGAGAATTTCCTGTTCCTGAACAGTTCAAGACTGTGTGGGATGGATCCAAGTTGGTCACTGAACCTGCAGAAATTATGGCATAACCTCCACTAACTGAAACCCCCTCATTCAAGTCTCTTTTATCATGCAAACAAACAAACAAAAAACACGCAGCATTAAAGAGCTAGAAGCCACAGTGGCACCTACTGCTTTAGTTTAAGCCTCCAGCAATTCTGTGCTATAAAATCAGTGTCATTTTCTGGCATGCTTTGTGGGCATTTTTGAGATATTTAACATTTCTTCATAATTTGCCTTTTTGTGATTTTAGTTCCACATAGTAAGTTATAAGCACTGCAAACTTAAAAGGAAAAAAACAAGAAAATTAACTCTGTTCCTTCCATATCAACACAGCAACTGATAAGTAAAAATTCTGCATGATTCAATTCTACACTCATGTTTAATTGTTAGCTCAAGAACAAAACCTTTGAGAATTTGTGTAGATGTTTGATATGGTGTCATAGCCCCGTACTGGAAGACTAGGAGATTTTTTTTCCCTTCATTTTACTACATGTTCACCTCTTTCTTAGCATGGATGCATCATTAGCATGAATATTTATTTCAATCCACATTTCTTAAAAGCATAAGAAAATTCTATGGGAGGACCAAATGCAGTGTGTTGGTCCTTAGAAAACTAATATTCTTTGTAGTTACTAAAACACAAAAATAGGTCTAACTAGGTCTAATTTTTTAAGCAGGTCACTTGGGAGGAAGCAGTTTCTCTTTTTCCTTTTTCTCTTTTTTCTTTTTCTTTTTGGGAGCAGGTACTGAGGCTTGACCTCAGAGCCTCTTGCTTAGGTATTTTTTCACTCAAGGCTGATGCTCTGCCACTTAGCCACACCTCTACTTCCCAACTTTTCTTTTGCTATATAATACCTCACAGTTTTGCCCCAAGAACAATCCCATTTTGTTTTCCAGTTTCAAACATGTTAAGTATTAGAAAGATGCTTTGTAAAGGATGTCTTTCATGGTTTACCACAGAGGAATTTCTTTTCCACTTGCCAGGGTTTCTAACCAGTCTCAGAAATGAACATGAAAAAGCCATAGATGCATAGCTCCTTCTGAGATCTGATGAATTATTTGTGGGCTTGGCTTGCTGCTTGTCTTTGGTAGTCCTGATACAGGCCATGCATTCTCAAAATAAATAACATGATAATCCTTCATACCTCTCAATATGAAGTGCTGAAAATTCTGCAACTTCTTGGGTCCCACATAATGAAATGTAGTATAATATTTGCCAAACCCATACAACCATATATATATACACATACACGTATATATAATGTGTGTATGATAACCTTTGGATATAGCATTTCTGTTTTTAAATATCTTGTATATCTATATAGCTCCTGTACTAAGGTTTTACTATAAAAGTTTTGTCCATATGAATAATGTTGTGGCTTTAGTAAATATAATTTTTGAACTGTAAACTTACTCTAAAATAAAGTAAAACTCTAATTGTTTAAATACTATGATGAATTCTTGATGTTAAAATTATCATCATTGGGGGGTTTTTGATTTATGTTTGTTTGTTTGTAGCATTTTTTACTTAGCCCTTAGATCTAGGAAAGGTAGCTGTGTAGATGAAGTTAGAGAATTTATTCAGTAAGAATAAACAATATAAATAATATAATTCAGACTTTTAAAGAGTGGATTCTTCAAGACTGATATCACATAAAGCTATTTGCAGTGATTTAGAGAGTTCTGAAATCCAGTTTTATAAAGCATAGCCCCTCCACTGACAAAAACCTCTTTGGATCTTTTGCAAAGGTACAGCTTCCCCGAGTTAATTATTTTATGTACATAATGATTTATGTCATAAATTATAACATAAATATAAACTATAAGATAAGTCTCTGATTGGCCATTTCCTGCCTCAATATTGAACATGTGTTTGCCAGATTACCTTGGTAAAATTTAACTAGAGATGGAAAATAGGTGATTGGAGACAAAGATCTCAAGCCCCTCTTTCTGACACCACACCCTGAGGAATTATTTCATGAGCTTAGTATTTCCAGAATGGCTTTCATTAAACATGTCCATTTCAAAAGAATTTATTTTAAACCCTTGGCACTTACTATACCACTTCAGATACAGATGCAATTTTGAGGGCTTTAATTGCTTCAGTGAGACGAGCTGATTGTGTAATGTTGCAGACTTCTCATGCACATTTTCATGTTTCTGCACATGATAAAGTTTATATCTCCACCACAAATGGAAAGTAAACCAGCTAAAATTATTCTGTGATAGTTCTGCCAGATTTCTCCAAATGGTTTTTGATCCTCTTGTTTGCATAATAGCATAGCACAGAATGTGTAATTCACAAAAGGTAGAGTTTACCTATAAGAGTTTTTGTTCTGCTTTTTCTCCAATACAGAGCATAACTGTATCTATATCTATATACCGATATAGATATATAGATATATCAGGCTCATTGTAGCTATTCAAGAAGCTGAGATCTGAGAATTGTTGTTTGGAGCCATTCCAGGCAAGAAAGTCCATAAGATTCTCATTTCCAATTAACCAGCAAAAAATCCAGAAGTAGAGGTTTGACTCAAGTGGTGGAGTACCAGCCTTAAGTAAAAAGCTAAAGGATGGTGCCCAGGCTCTGTTCAAGCTGTAGGACCATTACCAAAAGAGTTTAAAGATAGATTTTGCCTAAAATACAATTATAAGCATTTTATTTGTCTATACTTTCAACACCATGCTTTTCAGAATGATTAGTATACAAAAAAATGATGCCCTGGTATTGACATGAAGACCCAAATTAAAGAGTTGCATTGCCCACTAAACCATAATGCTAATATTTAATATTATTTGCCGATATCACCACATTTTTTCTTTAAAAAAATGAGTCATTTCCTAATATCAGTCTTTCTCATGGCAACTAATCAGAAACTACATTTTTAATTTTTTGTCATTTTTAACAAGAACTCGATAAACATATTTCTTTCACTCAAATGTCAGTAAACCAAGCTGGGCACTTTTGGTTCACAGCTGCAATCCTGGCCTCTCCAGAGGTCAAGATGAGTAGGAATGCAGTTCCAGATCAGCCCAGGCAAAAAATTTTCTAAGACTCCATCTTTACAGGAGCTGGACATGATGCCTCATACCTGTCATCTCAGCTACTTTAGGAAGTGTATTGTATTGTAGTCCATGTATGGGCCTACACAAAAGGAAGGACCTTAATTTTAAAATAAGGACTCTAATTACAAATATAAAACGGACTGAAGGAGTGGTAGAGCACTTGCCTAATAAGATAAGGTCTTCATACAAAAAAAAAAAAAAAATAGTCAACCTGCTATGGAAAGTTGTCCTGTGAATGTAACAGTACTGTAGATTTTCTTGGGAGGATTGTGATTGCTCATTGTCCCTGTGCAGCATAACCACAGCCACACCTATTGAACAGTGTGTGATCTCCTAGCAGGGCTTATGCTAACAGCACATGTCAGCCAGGCCCAGCAGCCTGCCCTGCATGAGCCCATATTATGACGGTCCTGGCATGATGCATTTCTCTTCAGCTTGAAAACTGTGCAATAGCGAAGTTAGGTCAGTTCCCAGAGAATGATTGCCTTCTGCCATCAAGCTTCCTTTATGGATACTTACAGCCACTGCCCCACAGCATTACTGAAAGATACATAGAGGCCTGGAGACATATTTTACAGGAGCCATATAACAAATGGATCTTCAGAAAATGTCATAAATTTATAGCCATATGATTTTTAAAGGAGTTTGTAAGTTTTATGTACTTTTCGTGTTCTGAGATAGAAAAGTTGGGTGAAGTAACCAAACTAACACTAGACTTTCCTCCACTGTTATCAACTGCTTCTCATTAGTGCTCACAATGGTGGCAAATTGAGGCAGAGATTTTGGTATTTACTTGGCTAACTTCATCAGAAAGAAGCTAATTATATCTGTGTACCAAACATAACACTTCAAAACTCAAAATATAGCCGGGTGCCAGTGGCTCGTGCCTATAATCCTAGCTACTCAGGAGGTTGAGATCTGAGGATCATGATTCAAAGCCAGCCCCTTCAGGAAAGTCCATGAGACTCTTACCTCCAATAAACCACCAGAAAACTGGAAGTGGCGCTGTGGCTCAAGTGGTAGAGCACTCACCTTGAGCTGAAGAGCTGAGTGACAGCAGCCAAGTCCAGAGTTCCAGCCCCACAACTGACCAAAAAAACAAAAAACAAAAAACCTCAAGATACCCAAACTACCCATACAATATCAATTTACCCCTATGCTACATTGCAGCTGACACCCAAGTACCTGAAGGATTCTTTTAATGGAATTCCATTCAGAAAAGGGGGAATTCAGGGAATGATGCTCGTCGTCAACTAAAATCTGGTACGTAGATTTTATCAAAATGTTCTGTCATTTGTTAGCATCTAAAATAATTGCACCAGCAATATGGCCTACATTCTGCAGCCTGCTTCTACCAAATGGCTACACAACCATTTTCTCTAATTAACTTAACCTCTTACTCTACAGAAATAACTTTTTCCCTTAAAAAAGGAGCTTTGATGTCTCACCAAATACATTTCCAACAGAGTTTTTCCTCAATGAAAAATACACACTCATACTTCATTAACCCTGCAAAGAAAAGTAAGCTGGATGCCAGTAGCTCACACCTATAATCCTTGCTCGTCAGGTGGTTGAGATCTGAGGATTGTGGCTCAAAGCCTGCCTGAGCAGGGTAGTCTATGAGACTCTTATCTCTAATATAAAACTACTGAGAAAAAAGAACTGGAAGTGGCACTGTAGCTCAAGTAGTAAAGTACTAACTGAAGGCTAGTTCAAGAACAATGCCCAGGCCCTAAGTTCAAGTTCCAGGACTGGCCAGAAAAAGGGGGGTGGGGAGGAGTTTTTTGTAGTTAGCCAGAAGATATACTTAACATGTGGAGCTAGCAGAAATGTGCCTCTTTGACAGATCCCTATAGTTACCTTAACAATGTAATTTTTTCAAATGAAATTAATGTGTTACAATTGGCTCCAAATATAAAAATAAACAAGTATACAATAGTATACAATAAAAATACCTATAGCAGAGCCCTTAGCTGTCCATTAAATCTCTCTTTCTACTTCCCAGACTCTACTTCCAAATCTCTTTAAGTTAGATGGCCATGTGGCTAGATTGTCCTTGAAGGAATGTGTTAAGAAAGGTGTCTAGGGACTGGGAAGGTGGCTCAGTGGTAGAGTGCTTGCCTTGCATGCATGAGGCCCTGGGTTCGATTCCTCAGCACCACATAAGTAGAAAAAGCCAGAAGTAGTGCTGTGGCTCAAGTGGTAGCGTGGTAACCTTGAGCTGAAGAGCTGAGGGACAGCGCCCAGGCCCAGAGTTCAAGCCCCACGACCAGCCAAAAAAAAAAAAGAAAGAAAGAAAAGAAAAGAAAGAAACAAACAAAGAAAGTGTCTAATTTTACTCTAGAACTCAGATTTTTAAGAGAGGATGATTTTTCCATGTTTCCTGTTTCCTTTCTTCAGCCATATCCTGGACATGGCAACTAGCTTCAACCACACAGATGATAATATGCTCTCATTCAAAAATGACAAGATGGAAAAAGCCTAGGTTTCTGAGCCACACATGGAAAACAAATTCAGACTTACTATGTACTTCACATAATTTATGAAATTTCTTTAGTCCATAAAGAGTCCATGGGTATAGGTGCTATTACTATCTATGTATTAGGTATAAACAACTGAAGTACAGAGAAGATAAATGTCTTTTCCCAATGTGTGTAGCTGGAACAGGGTTAAAATAAGATTCGTGCTCTCATTGAATATAATATCTATACCTTTATACACAAATGCTGTATTGTTCTTCTAGTTGGTTCATATTTAATAACAATATTCCTACAATCTGTTTTCTGACTCAGATCTTTCTCTCTCTCTCTCTCTCTCTCTCTCTGCTCTCTCTCTCTCTCTCTCTCTCTCTCTCTCTCTCTCTCATTTGCAATACTAGAACTAATTCAGGAACTATGCTTGCTCATAGCTGCTACTCTACCACATAAGCCACTCTTCTAGCCCCGCTTTTTGCTAGTTATTTTGGAATTGGAAATCTAGCAAACTTTTTTTTTTGGTCTGGGCTGGCATTGAACAGACCGCAGCCTCCTAACTAACTAAGATGATAGGCATGAGTCTCTGGCATCTGGCTTATTTTCCTTAATAACATATGGATACATCTTTACAAGTTCTGTGAAGGTGTTTCCTGTGACCCTCGCTGTAAGTCACAGAGTTTCTTGTGTGTTATTTTAGTTTGGGTACTTTAAACTATTTGATTAAAAAAAACATTTGGGTTTACTATAATGAAATACCTGATACTAAGTAATTAATGAAAAAGTGATTTATTTCTTATGGTTTCTGGAGACTGAGAAGTCTAAGATTAAAGGGTCCACATTTGATAAGCAACTTGTCATCCCATAGAAAGAGGTAGAAGTCAAGAGAGTATGGGCATGTGTGCCATTGTGTG